CCATTCGATCCTCTTGCGCGGTCACCTTTGTTCCAAGCTCAAACACTCCCGACACTCACTCTTTCAAGGCCATACTCATTCCAATCCTACATTTATCAGGAATTAAATGAGACTAGGAGTAAGGTATAGACTAAAAGACTAATCTAGTATCTATTTATGATTACCTAATTGACCGTCACTCTCACGTTGACTCTCGCTAAAATCTCCGTAAAGGACTGTCTCAAGATAGCCCTTGCACCCTTATTTGAGCCGTTCACTGGACAAATTGATTAACTTCATAAAACAAAAAGTGGAGAAATGCAATGAAATAATGTATATTGTTTTTTTAAATTCCCTTTATAATTTAAATCGAAATAAATATTGTAGAATGCATAAATACAAATGTAACTTTCATCTAACGGTATATAAAATTTATAAGAAAAAATAGCCAAAAGGTAATCGTTAGTAATGTTACCATTTTTATGTTACTGGAAGAGTTAATCGATTTGGCAAGTGGAAAAAGTAGTAAATTTAAATTTTACTAAATTTTACTTAAATTCTGATAAGACGGCACTAAAAAATTCACCGTTATCATTCATGGCTTGCTAGTGCATTTGAGTTGCATTATTGCAACGATTTACATTAGAGTACGGAGTTAATCAAAGTGACCTCTGAAATAAATTATTTATTATTCAGTGGCCAACAAATTTTTGTCGTTTAATAGTGTTGATCTTAATTATCAGGGAAAATGATTATAAATATAAAAAGTTATGACTATACCAAGTGCTTTGACACTTAAATTTAAGATTTTTCAAGAAGTGGAGTTAATCGATTTGTGCAGTGAACGGCTCATTTGAACCTTGCAGTCTCTCTTCTTTCTCAGGCAGACTTTCTTTCTCGATCACTCATAAATGTCCTTTCCATATAATCCTTGCACGCGGTCACTCGTCCTTCTACGTCCACTCCAGATATCACCCTGAAGATTCGATCCGAACCCAAGGCTGATGCTTGTTATCCACCAGCCAGATAAGCCCAAGTGTTCCCTTGCACTCACTCTCACATCCTGGCATCCTACAGTAATATATTTGTAAGTTCGGATCTTATTGTTCGTACTGTGCGTTCGAGAAAAGAAGGCGCACGGCTAACTTCGCTGATACTTCCATGATCATAGGTAGTGACTTTATCACTGATGATTTTCGTCACCGTTTTCGGCCAACAGATCACTGCCTGTGATGAAGAGAGTGTCAGTAGAGTTAATCAGCCGTGAGGATGTAAACATCCTCTTTCCTCGAACGCACAGTACTTAAATAAGGAATTAATATTAAATTAGATTTTTAGTAAAATAAGATATTTTTAAACCAGACAAGGTTTATGTTATATTAAGTATAATTAAGTAATATACTTGCAGGTTAAGATATTAGTACTTAAGTAAGGAATTAATATGTAAGCTGAGACTTATGCTACAATACCAGGCACATTGGCTATTAAGGTTAAGTAAAAGTAATTATCCATGTTAATAATTATGTTTATATGTAATTAATGATAAGTACTATTAATTAGTGTTAAGTTAGTAAAATAAATTTCATCCTTTGCGAGACATTTTATTTCTTCTGGTGTGGGTTTTTCTTTTTTAATTTTTTAATTCTCAATTATTCTACATTTTCATGCTCAGAAACATGGGAAGTCTTGTTGCATGAAAGAAATGTTATCTTTTCTTTGTTTAAAATTTCTAATTATCTATATTTTGTGGCAATGAAAGTGTAAAATATTGATATACAAATGAAATAATGTCTGGCATAGAGTTATACACTTAGTTTAAGGTTTAATTTATCTTTTATTTCTAGGTTCAGTTCAAGGAGCAATTTACTTTTTATTTCCAGGTTTAGCTTTTCGCGTCGATTTTTTCTTTAAATCCGTTTTGCTGTTTATTTTGTACAGCGATCAAACATTGAACGTTTTGCAAATTTGCATCAAAAGTGGAATGTATTTGAATATTAGTAAATTTTTCCGCGAATGGAGGGAGGATGGGACGTGGATAGGGTGGGTCTCCATTCGCAGCACCTCCTCGCGGTGAGACCTGGGCAATCGGTATTATTTGACATATAGCTTCTAATCGTATCACTATAGTTATAGCATACGTAACTAATAGATATGATACAATTATAAACGATATAGCAAATAATACGAGCTAATTGGCTGCGATCTTGACGTTGTAGAGTTTCACGTATTAAATTAGGGAGAAGAGATCGATAAGGAAGGGATCTTCTTGCAATTTACGTTGTTCAGCTTTAGATATAATTTACATAGGTATATCGATTAAAATAGCGTTCATCGAAGTCCATACCTTGTTTCGAACAAAGGTTCTGTTTAGGATGGTTAATAAAGATAAAGGTAGTTCGTTGATTACGC